TATCTAGCACTCGTCCCAGGGACTCCAAAAAGGGTGGGTACTCTGAACTGATATTTGGCCCATAAGCACAAACAACAGTCAGGACCCGTTCCCCGACCCGAAGGCGCAAGGAAGCTACCCTCTTGTCCCCCGGGGTAAACCCCAACACACAGGCAGAGAGTCTCGGGGCTAACAAAAAGCCAACCCCAGCCCTCCGCCTCTCACCCGGAGCAACTCCAGCAAAGTAGAGTGTCCAACCCCTCTCCAGGTCTCGGGTTCCAGAGCCAATGCAATGTGTCGAGGTGAGTCCGACTATATCTACTACTAAACAGCGTTTTGTGAATCACAAAGGTGACCAAAAAACAATGAACAATATTAAAAGCTGTCTGAAAGTGCTAAATGAGTGTGGAGAAAGCATCCCACCGTTAGTGCCCCATCACCTGGATGAGCTGCCACCTAGCATAGCAGTCTGGATGTGCCAGCTCTGCTCAGCAGAATGGAGCGTTTGCAAGGTGAGGTCTGTGCCTCGAAACATGTGGTCAAGCTTCAAGTGGACACCTGTGAGGACCTGCAAGCTGTTGCTGCAGTCATGGGAGGTAGAGTCGCTGCTATGAGGACCAATCAGAGCAGAGTCGGGTTGTAGGTCCAGCTTTAATGAGGGATGGGAGTGCCTCCTGTGGTCATAGAATGGCTGAAGTGTCAGAAGGGAGGGATGGTGAGGTGCCAGCTGAGGGTCAGAAAGGCTCTGATTCCACTGAGATCAGAACAGCTAGATCCTGCACCAGTGACCAAGTGCATTGGAGAGGCCAGAAGGAGCCCTGGCTAAGTCCCCAGAGTGGAGCCAGGTTGTGAAACGCAGTAGAGGCGTGAAAAAGAACAACTCTGAAGGAAAACTTGCAACACAGCATGCTGGAATGCATGGACTGAGGAGAGACCAGCCTGTTGTGGGTACCGCAGCACATGGAGGCATAAAGGTGATTCCAATCCAGTTGATGAGTATGTTTGCTACCAATCTCTCACCTGAGCTTGATGCAGAGACACTGGCTACCTTTTCATCAGGACAGCTTGGACGTGATGTAAGGTGCCAGCATACTGACATGATGAGCAGTAGGTGTAGCTCGTTTAATGTGAGTGCCGAGTTTTCAAAAATAAAAGCTTAATCTAAACCATCAACTTGTATTTTAGAGTTTAAAGTTAAGTTTAAAACGTCCAGTAAAACTAAGATTCAAGCTGCTCTTGGGACCACATAGGCCAATGTGCGTTTGTGAACTATGGACCCTCGTACATGGACTGCTTGTCCGGAACCGCGTGCCCATGAACTGAACTGTATGGCCGGCGGAGATATGCCCTTTTATCCCCTCACGGGTGCCCCTGTTAAGCCCATGGACTGGACTGCCTGATCCTTGTCCCATTTTGTCCCCATGGACTGTGGACTGCCTGATCCTTGTCCCCTTTTGTCCCCTCATGGAGTCAACCGCCCGCCGGTCTCCCTCCTTCCACACTACTACCTCTCGCATGGACGACGACACCCCTGGTAGAATGTGCGTACCACCTGCATGGGGGGCTCCTCCTCTTTATGCGCGTGGGGACTGTCCCGTTTACTATCCCCTCTTGTTCTTTTGCCTGACCAGGATCCAAGACCAAGACAAAGACCAAAGGTGACCAGGATCCAAGACCAAAGACCGACGATCAAGTTGACCAACGTTCATGAGGGAAGAACCCATCTGTGCTTCCGACGATCGAGCTCTGGCACGATCCCCGAAACCAAAAGGGGGAATGTTGAGGGTCTGCCCTCATGAGAAAATTACTATGCAGTAATTTCTCCAAAAGACTGTACCAAAAACGCCCTGAAGCATAAATAAAAAGGCATATTGAGATCAGCACCAAACAGAGACTTAATTTCCCATGACCCTCTGCAGCCGGAAGCAACGTGATGACGTCACCAAAGTGACGCCGAACCCCGGAAGCTACACAGGTTCCGCCCGCCCGCTGGATAAAGCTGCGGCACAGAGCAGAAACGTTCTCTTTTGTTCCAGTTTCAGCTGGTGTTGAAGAGACCACTGTATGGCTCCGGACGCAGGCACGAGGCCTGACTACTGGGAAGCAACGGAAACGCCATTTGACGAGATCGAACTCCAGAGGGCTTGTTCGTTCGTTCAAAGTTTTTTTTATCTTTCTCTCCCGGTTCTCTTATAGCCAAAAGAAGCAACTCGATCACGTGACTGCTTTAAAAGTAAAATACGGTTTCTCTTCCGTACCAAAACACGCCATCGGACCATCTTAAAAGTAAGCCGTTCTGTTTTTGTTATTGTTTAATATCTAAGTTTCATGCTGTGGCCAGGCTGACAAACTTTAGATATTCACTTTGCTTTTGATCTTTTATTGTGTTTATTGATCTTTGTGAAGCGGTTTGAAGTGTTTTTGATTGAGTTACTGTGAAAAGCTATGCCCACTGTGTGTCCGTACTTGAGAAGACAAGCTAAGCGCGCGCTCGCACACACACACACACACACACACACACACACACACACACACACACACACACACCTCTGTGGTCAGCAGAACAAAGGACGAGCCATTTTGGGTTTTCAAAAACCGCTCCATCTTGGGTTACACCACCTCAGATTATTATTTCACATTATCATTCCATTGTTTAATTACTTGTTATTCATTTTGATAAAATAAGTTGGTTGATGTTGATTGGCTAAACACTTTGGGAGGAGCTGAAGTGATTTTATTAGTTAATGTTATTGCCAATTAAGTTTTGTCTCAAGTGAATTTGTTTGTGTTGATATAGAATTACAACTGCAGCTCGTTAAGGATTGCGAACTTTAGACAGATTGATAGAGGTTGTGGATTCATTTTTCCCCTGTTAAAAGGGGATGGTGCCCCGAGGATACACAAGGATTTCCTAATTATGTAATAAATCGGTAAATATTTCCATATTTACGAATTTATTGATGAATCCAAAAAAGTATGTAAAGCTTACAAATTATTTGTTGACTAATAATCACAACACTGCCTATAATGACTGCATGTGCATATTACTCAGGAAACCAAGACGGCACCATGCCAGTGAGATGTTTTGACTTGCTAGAGTCCATGCATGTCCTGGTGTGATGAGAAACATGATCTACAAATGTTTGCTTCAACTGAATGCTACGGGTAACTCCATCATTAAGCTTGTGACTGATCCTGGGCTTAGTGATGTGTGATATCAAGTATGTGGAAGGAGCTCCAAGTCCCAGAGATCGGTCGCATCACTGTGATTTGAGTCTGTAAATAAAGTATTCTTCTCAGATCAGCTGGTAGAACCGGGTCAGAACCAGACAGGGTGAAGCTGCTTTTAGTCACTGTGCTGCTCACAGATGGAATCAGCTTCCTCATGACCTCAGCTCTACCTGCTACCTTTTGGACTATGCCTTTATCTGTTTGTTAAATCTGAAGTTAATATCTACATTTGTTTGATTTACTGTTTGCTGTTCTTGCTTCAGTAAAGCACTTCCAAGTGTCTTTGTGTTTGAAACGTGCTTCACGAATAAAGCTGCCTGCCTTATTTAGACTCAACAGCTAACACTAAGGAAAGAGGGGGTCACACACTGCTGATTTCAGTTTGACTAATTAAAATTGCTAATAAAAAGTTATTGATTGCATCATTTACCTTTTGTTTTACATACATTTGAAGGGGAGACTAGGCAGTTTCGCTTGCTTTCAGCACCCCCCTAGTGTCTCCTTGCTGTACACTCGACTTTTTATCACTTTAATCTAACAGCTGAAATGTCTCCCAGCCTTCTTTAGGGTCTACAGGAATGGTTGATCACTAAATTAAACAGACCAGCTGTGTTCATGACCTAAAACAGTCCGGTCTGTTGGGACTGTAGTTCTGGCAAAAGGCGCGATAGGGGCTGTGTGGCCTATCAATAACCCCATAAAGGGTTACTTTAGCATATACTGGCTCAAGAAAATTATTTAAAAACATGAAAAGGTTGCAAAGTGTCCCTTTAAAATAAAGTTTGACTAAATTTTATGTGTTGTTGACTGAATAACAGCACAACACAAAAGTCTATAGCAGACAGATGGAAACAACTCTTAAATTCAGCAACTAAACTTTTTTTTAACAACTCCATATTCAATTCAATTCAAAAATACTTTATTAATCCCAGAGGGAAATTGATTGCTGTAGTAGCTCAGAATATACAACAAAAAGTTGTTGTATATTACAATGGCTCACCTTACTAACCGTGATGATGCCTGAAAGCATCCATGACAGATGTCTGGTTCATGTTGGCAGTACCTCTCCATCCTCTGACCACCTCGTCATGATGTCTTCGTTTTCTGTCTCATGATTTGTGGTTTGTGGTCTTACTGCAATAGCTCACACACATCTTCGCTGCAGTCAGTAGCACTAAGGTAGCTCCACCTGATTCTGGCCAACCGTGAGCTTCCAGGTGCAGCAGAATCAAAAGCTGCTCAGTGGCGGCTCAGGGTATTTATACTGGGCCCTATCACACACCACAGTTGGCAGAAGAACAAGAAGTTCCAACCAAAGAAATACAATGAAAAATGTCCCAAAATTATTAACTAAAAATGACTTAAATATTGATACTTTTATGAGAGCATTGATCCCATACACAGAGAGCTGGAATCGGAGGTATCATACTTTAGGATTAAACAAACACTTCTCCCCTCAATATTCTGAAAACGTTAAACTTATTCATTTTTAAAGACTTCCTCCTCCTCGTCTGTCTCGGTTGCTGAAACACACCACAGTAAGTGTCCCCATCCCCCAGGAGACGCAACAACAGGTGTCACATCCCTCGCCTGGACACCTGCTGGATAGGCAGCTCCTCAGGGCATGTCCATGTCTGCCCACCATGGCGGGGGTCTGCAGATGCTGCTGATTTGCAGGTTAATGTATTTGTGTCAGAGTGCTAGCTGAATGGAGCAGCCTAGCTATCCAGCTGGAACAGGAGTGACTAGGGAGCATTTCACATTGCAGAGGAGGAGTGGCTGAGTCTTACTGTGAAAATCTTGTTGTGGTTTTCTGTGGTCGTCCGTCTTTGGCAGGCGTACCGAGGCGTAGTCACGGGATCTGGTGCAGGAATGTCAGGCATGGAGTCCTGTTTATAAAGATGGCACACAGGAGCCACTGTGAGTACGGTTGTTCCGGATTAGCTCAAAGCCAAGAGTTTATAAAAATGCAGCCATTTTCCTTCAGAAGGTATTTTGGTGACGATGCGTCTCCAGGGCAACAGGCTAATGACGCTCATCTCTCAGTCTGGTGGCATCCACATCCATTACACTACCTAACCTGAGGCTTGTCATCCTCTTATTTACCTTCTCATTCTGCAAAAAGAAGTGCGTAGAAAATGTATAACGTGTCAGAGTAGCATTAATACTCTCACAGACGATCAGTTGTTGAACATTCATGTGGCTAGCTGTAGGTTTGGGTTGGGAGAAGAGACATTTACACATATCAGAGTCCACAGCTGCCCTGGGGCACAGCCACCGGTCTGTCTGACAACCACCGGCAATGAGTGTCTTGCCCGGGGACACAGCAACTGTAACTGACAGGACTTCAACCTGCAACCCTCTGCGTACAGAGCAGTCACTTCCCTCCTCTGCCACTGTCACACCACACTGACTCCGCTAAGAACTTCTCTGTAGACCAAAACGCTTTCTGGAGTCTGGTGTGCTTCTGTCTGTCAGACAGCTGAAGTTTGGACCAAAGTGGATCATAAAATCAGTTTATGTCTGCTCAGTTTTCAGAAAATGGTTTGAAATCTGACTCATACAGACAACCTGTGAATGAGTTTAAAATGTCTTTGTTTCATTAGGCCTAGGCATGTGTCTAATATATCCAAACATACCTGAATACAGTGTTTGGTCTCCACGGGTACAGGTCTGCCCTCTCTCATGCTGTCAGTGAACCAGCTGATGTCCACCACATGCATCACAGACAGATTTCTCAGAGCACAGTCCTTGAGCCACGTCCAGAGGGAGCCAGGCTTGCTACCCTCTGATACAACATGAGTGACTGTATCACTGTGAAGGAAAAACAAACACTGATAAGCTTTCAGTGAAGTCTGAAGCTTGCCAAGTTGTATCTGTTAACTCAGAACATTAAAAACTGGAGGTGAGAATCGAAAACCAGTTGTTGTCGAGTGCCGCTTCCCGATGTTTCAATTCCTAGGATTTGTTTCCCATTTCTGCAAACTATTCACTTACCGATTCCAGTCAGTGCAAATGACGTCACCATGCACGGCGCGTGGCTTATGCATTCACTCAGCAGGAAACATGGCGTCTAAGTGGCACAAAGCCTCAAAGGCTTGTTTATACTTTACGAGAAAGGATGAAAACAAGGCAACTTGCAATATTTGCAAAGTAGATATTTCCTCAAAGAGAGGAAACACTGAATACGTAATAAGTTTAAGCGCCTCGTGATTTTTATCTTGAGGGGTATTATAGAAATGATACTTTCTTCTTCTAAGCTCAAGTCACTGATGTGTTTTGACCCGTTTTGGACGAGTGACTTTCAACGCTGCAGCGGTGACATTTGTTCATCCTCTCCTGTTCATGTTGCAAGTGAATAATCAGCCAACACTACCTATGTTAGCGTCATTTGCCTCACACACACACACACACACACACACACACACACACACACACACACACACACACACACACACACACACACACACACACACACACACACAAGTTTGCTTGGCTCACAGAATTAATGTCAGTTTGAGGCGGGCACGCTCTACTTCCTGTCGTTGGCTTCACACAATGGTATGAAGCCAAGTGTAACCGTAGGAACGCTCAAGCTGCATTTCTGGGAATGTTGCCATGGCCAGGCTGGCAGGAACACTTAGAAAAGTACTGGTATGATCCCTTTGTCACACACTCAACGTACTATACAAGCAGGGACCTTTTCAGCACAGATTATGATTAGCACATGAAGTCTACTTTAATAGTAGATGGGTGAAGCAGTAGACGGCTCAAATGTAGGGGCTGATGTCATGCCAACGACCACTGCTGTGATTTAAAAGAGGCTTTCAGTCAGAAAACAAACCAGGCCTGCTGCTTTCACCACGACCAAACACTAGGGAATTCATGGCTGCTAGCAAAACTAATAAAAACACCTTGGCTGGGTCATTTAAGAAAGCTTGTTCCGTTAGGGTTGTTCTTCTGTTTGGTATTTGCTCCACACTGTTAAAGCTTTAGTCCTCCGTTAAATGGATTTATGTTGGAGCTGTGAGTTATAGCTCAGGTGGGAAATCCACTAAGGTAAAACAGAGGCATGATGGATGCCATAATCTTTCTAAATTAACTATTAATGAGACAGTAGTGGCTCTGTATTTAGCCAAAGGGATCTTAACTTCTTAAACAGGCAGAAACTTGTTAGAAAGTGGTGCAAAGATACCATTTAAGCCTTAATTCTGCATCTAGGTGAGCAATGATCAGGCTTTTGATGGTTTAAGTATCAAACAACTAGCTCAGCCCACCAACGAAACGACCATTTGTAGTTTTCCTTACCTCAGAACGTCTTCCACAATAAACCCTTTCGACCTGGCCAGGTGGGTCAGAAAGCTCCTCCTGCTGCTGCCCATTTTCGTCTCCACCAGGAATATTCTGACATCCTGGAACTTTATCTTCTCCTGCCTGGAAACTTCCTCTGGTTTCTGCTTCTTCCTCAGACGCGGGACAACAGAAGTGTGAAACATTCCTTCTAAGGTGAACTGCTAAGATTTTTCTGGAATTCCTGCTATGTCGTCTGATTTTCTGAGGAAACAAAGCACCGCTTTGGGACTCGTGCTGTTGTTGGAGATGCTGTTTAAGTTGAAGCAAAGCTGGTGTGAGGCAGCCTGGAAAAAAAACTTCTGGCAACAGGTGTTGAGGATTTGGTGTTTACCAAAAAACCCACCTGCCAGGACTGAACGATAAAGAAACAGGAAAAGAACCCTCCAGGTGGCGTGGTGCCAGTTTCCATCTGTACAGGCTCTTCAGCAGAAAAGTCAAGATGTGGCCAGAGGTTCGAAACAGATGCTGAAGTTAGCTTTATCTCTCATTTAAACACCAGGCTGTCTATCAACTTCTTGCCCAAATCCTGACTGATCCTGGTCCTGATCTACAAAGTTCTGACTTTATTCTTCTGGCTTGGTTCTCCGTCTGTTATGTTCTGCGGGTGGAGATGGCAGACCATGTGTGGTGGTGGGTTTCAGGAGGCAGAAGAGCAGGCAATGGATGAAAAAATAAAAATGGTTTAATTATAGACTGGGAGCGACAGGACAAACGAACATGCACAAAACGACAATGATCCGACAACGACAGGAACAAAGAGGGAGGTATAAATACACAGAACAATCAGGGAACACATGGGCAGGTTAACGAGGGCCAGGTGAGAACAATAAAGCTAATTACGGAAGGAGTGACACAGTCAGGGAGGCCGGGGCGAATCATGACACCGTCATGCTGAGGAAGACAATCAGTGCGTTTACATGCAGCCAGTAACCCTTTTAAAACCCGAATATTCACAATAACCCGGTTCCGCAGGTCCTTGTAAACACAGCCAAAAACCCGGATATGCTCATAACCGGATTTTTAAAAACCCGGTTACTACACCTGGGGTAACCCTTTTCTAACCCGAATGTTTGGTCGTGTAAACGCATATCGGGATATCCCCATCAAAGCGTGTGTTCTGCGCATGCTCTGTTCGCAAGGAATCTTGGTCCTTTGAGTAGCGAGACGTCTTGTATGCGCCAGAACACCGGAAGTAAACAACAAGTTGGGAGCAAAATGGCGAGTCACGGCACAGCACCACACTTTGAGTGACGAGGAAACTAAAGCGCAAACAAACGCGGTCGCTATCTCTTCCGAACTGGGAAATATGTTGTTTTCATGGATACCGGAACAAGAAGAACCGGAAATGACGCATATTGCGTCTGGACGTAGTCCATACGTCCTGACGCTACCCCAACGTCCGCATTTACATCGGGTTATGCAAGTTAGGGGTAACTCTTTCGATTTATGCTTGTAAACGGGTTATTCTGATCAACTACGAAACCCGAATCCCGACCTTAACCCGATCATAACCCGGATATTGGCTGCATGTAAACGTACTCATTGATCGCCACCAAGCTGTTGGAGAGTTCCTCTGGGAGGATGTTTAGGTGCCATTCTTTATTTATGGCTGTTCTAAGACTAAACTGGGACTGGTCCACTCCCTGGACTCAGAAGTAGCGGCTGCATTCCTGTCCTGGACCTGCTGGACTTTTCTGGGCACCCCGAAGCCTTCTTCAAAAGTGCAAATGGGGTTTGGGATTAAATTCTATTCCAGGACATTATGTCTGAAGAACGAAGCAGCAAACTTTGTGATATTGTTTGTGGCATCCTCAAAACTTTAGCCCACAGCTGCAGGCTCTTCCTGGTCCAGAAGTTTCCATGGTGTTGTAAAACCTCCCATGCTGTAAGATGCCAAAGTCCTGATCACTTCACACACCCCTTTGCATCTGTCCTGCTGTCCAGTTTGTCTCGCACTCACCGTCTCATTATGTCCAGAGTCAAGTCTGGTCCATCTGCTCTACGGCTTTAATTAGCTTCCTGCCTAAAGCAGGAGTCATTGTGGGCATTTCCCAGGAGGGCCCACCTTTCATACTCCACACTGGCACACATACAGGTGTGGTGTGTGCCAGCTGTTGATGATTAGCAGCATTTACCCGGGGAGTGTTGCTGCATATGCAGTGGTCAGGAAAGCAGCCCAGAGACAGATTTAAAGACCGGTTTTGTAAGCTTGTCTGTGCTTTAATTTACAAACATGATTACAAGAAGAGTCACTCTGCAGAGCAAAACTACATAACTGAATAAAGAAAAGGTTTTAATGAGTGCTGCTTGTAGAAACGGCACCTGCTTCAGGAGCCCATACGGACATGACTAAATGACTACGGGTCGTCTCATTAAGAGAGCCTCATTATCGTCCTCGCCACAATAAGAGCACCTTGTTTTCTTCTGACAGATATTATTACACAGCTCTCATTAGTGCCAAGTGGCCAGGGTTAGCGGGTGTCAAAGGGCAGACACCACTAATTGGTGGACTATTTACCCTCCAATCAGTCAGCAGTATATGAGGTTGCTGGCCTCCATCCAATTAGAAGCCAGTAAAATTCTACCTCTTATCTCTGAGATAAATGCTTCCTGCATCAGGCGCTTAAATTCTCCCAGTTTATCAGCACGTTTGTTTAGTCAGAGGATGGCATCTGAGTTCCCTGAGATAAGAGCTTGGAAGAGGAGAACCACAGTTCCTTTATTACGGTGGAGGGGGACATTTGAAAAAAAGAAAATCAGAATTTCGAGATAAAAGTTGAAATAATGTTTTCAGGTATTTTGAGCAATAGCTAAAGAAGTGAATCCCCTAAACTCGACCGTTGCGTGATTCGAGGGCTCTGGGTGTTTGTCTCCAGAATAAAACACAAAACAAGAGTTCATTTGCAAAAACAAATGCATGTATTTTTATACATTTTTTAAAAATGCATCTTTTCATTATTTACATCAGGTGATATCAGTCCAAAAACATTTAGGCTTTTATTTGTTGGTGCAAATAAACTCCCATTAAAGACCACGCCTGAATTAGCATGCACACAGGAAGTCCTTCACAATAAGAGTCTGAGACGTGCACACAGACATCAATACATCAGATGTTTAGAAAACCGCTGTTTTCTGCATCAACATTTGCCATCTGATTGGTTGGTTGTTGTGGGATCAAGGAGGTAGAGCGGGTCTTCCAGGAACCAAAAGGGTGCAGGATTGATCTGCTGTTGTGTCCTTGAGCAAGACACTTAACTCCTCCTGCCTGCTGGTGGTAGTCGGAGGGACCGGGTCATTTACAGGTGTATGGTTGCCATGGTAACCCTAACAAGACACTGAGAGCAAAAGTAGTTCTTTTTTATGTCATCCACAGTTATCAACTACAACAACCAGATCTTCATAGAGGGAAGTTCAAGTTGCTTGATCCACTTTAAGTTCTGGTCTTCTGCAAGATTCTCTTTGTGGGTGTTGGACTGTGTTGAGAATGTAATCCTCTGATGGCTCATTGCTTCACTGTGATTAAATAGAAACACTTTTATAGGACAAAACTAAAATATCGGTTGTTCAAAATATAAATGCCAGTTTTCTTCTACTGCCTGTAAATGTTTCAGAAATTATTAGCTTCAGTGGACATTTTAGGAAAGATAAGCATTCTGTGTGTGTGTGTGTGTGTGTGTGTGTGTGTGTGTGTGTGTGTGTGTGTGTGTGTGTGTGTGTGTGTGTGTGCGTGCGTGCGTGCGTGCGTGTGTGTGTGTGTGTGTGTGTGTGTGTGTGTGTGTGTGTGTGTGTGTGTGTGTGTGTGTGTGTGTGTACAAGTGATAATGTTGCAGGATTTCATAATTGTATCCTTCTCAGCAGCAGCACTGCAGGTGCTCTCCATGTCCAACATGTGCGTAAGCCAGGTCCTTAGTCAACTTAAAGTTGCACACATTTTTCTGCCAAGTTTTCTTTTGTAAATCCCAAAGTTTGCGTGGAAAGTTGCTTACGCAGTTTTCCGACCCCGTTTTGTGCATAAGCAAGCTTGATAAATGAGACCCCAGGTCTTTTGTTTTGCTTCATCATTATTTTAGCCTGGTGAAGAAACACGGAGCTACAAAATGGACCTCTGTTTCTTCATGACCAATAAACTTCCCAACACTTTGGTTGCTAATAAAAACCACAACTTTGGCACAGACCTCAGTACAAAATGGAACAAAAGCTTTGCAGAAGAGAGATCTGAAGATGAAGAACTCTACAACCTCTAGTTGGCTTAAAGTTTAAACCTCTAGAAAATAGATTCTCACTGCTGGCAAGAATCAAACATTTAAAAGCCAAACATGGATCGGATGAAGAGAAATACCATGGGTCACCCTCAGCATGCATGTGCATGCTGGACGTTCACAGGTTCTCCAGAGCTTTTTCCCCACAGAGAACGAGGATTCATTCATTCATACTAGAGACCACAGCAGGTTTAAAGAAATGAGTGAATGAGAGATTTAAGATGGAATCATTCAAAGACCATAGATTTGTTTCAGATGAAACACCTACACCTGTGCTTCTGTTAGATTCTCACATCATCAGCCTAAACTCTGATGAACGTAAAGAAAAAGTTTGCAGAATCAGAGCTGCGGTTCCAGGTAGTTTTTGGATCATTTGGACCATCATCATCTTTATAGAGACCCTTACAGGAATGAGGAAAACTGATAAAATTGTGTAAAAGATCAACATCTAACCCAGAGAGTTAAAAGCCAACCCATAAAAGTGGGTCTTCAGGTCCTGCTACGGAGAACGCCCTGTCCCCTCTCGTCTTTAGCCGAGCTCTAGGAGCCATCAGCAGGGACACAAGGCTGCACCAACTCCATCAGATGAGCTGGAGCCAGTCCATTCAAAGCCTTAAAACCATTAAAAGGAGCTAAAACCCAATGCTGAAGTCCACAGGCAGCCAGAACAGGTGTGATGTGATCAAACTTTCTTTTGCCACCTAAGAATCTTGCTGCACAAGCTGCAGAGGAGCTACTGTACTCTGACCTACCCCATGTTACAGTAGTCCAGGTGTGAGGTTATAAAAGCATGAACAACCGTCTCACCATCCTGTCTAGACTTTAGCCACCCATCTCAGGTGCTGAAAACACCACAGTACCAACATGGACATCAGGGCATTGTCCATCTTCACTCCCAGGTTGACCAAATACCTGTTTGACATTTTTGGGTGAATATTTTATTAAATGTACTGTAGACAATATATTAGTAAGATGCCTTCAAAGGTTTTCAAGAACAATCTAAAGAAAAGAGTTTACTGTGTGAGGTTAGGAGCACACAGACAGCGCTGATCGATCCTCAACCTCAGCTCCACCGAACCGTTCGTTTACTTTGTTTTGTTTTCTTCCTGTTTTTAGTAAAGAGAAGTTCTGATTTAGCATTTTAAAAACAGGCCAAAGTACTTTCTTTCCCCAAAGATTCATGTCCGAAAACCATTTCTAGACCTAAATGTCAGTTTTAAAATAAATCCTGATTATGGTCACATTTAAAAAATAAACGCTTTCTGGTTAAAAATAGCTTTTATTTTACTTAATTTCATTAGATTTAATCTTGTAGCTTCAAGAATAAATATGCAGTTAAACAGGAAGAAGCAGCATCAAGGGGCTGTGATGGTCATGGATGAATCTACAAGAGGCCATGGTGGTCCTCACTCGGCCCAGGCCAGTCGGGCAACACTCCACCACCCTTGGTCATCCCCAGTAAACCTCACCAGAAGGCATCCTGGCCAGATGCCTGAACCACCTCAACTGGCTCCTCTCAATGTGGAGGAGCAGCAGGTCTACTCCAAGCCCCT